ATTTTTATTGTGTTTAGTTAGAATCGCTGCCGAATTACCGAATTACGCGAGTTGTTGTCGCGTGAACGCGGGCAAAACATTCCGTCATTGTAACTAGCTACCGTCGAATAAAAGTCGAAGAGAGAACATCCGCCTTCATTATTTCAGCACCCGCTAACTACTAATCCTTCCGACATCGCGTGAACCAGCCCCTCTACCGAGAGCAGGGCTGAGCTGCCGGACGTGCGAGCGAGCCGTTCGGGCGGAGGGCCGGTTGTCCTCGTCGGCGAGACCACCGCTTAAAGGAATATTTAGTGTCGATACTTTTAGTGGGTACGGACCGCCGTACCTGGCGCCCAACTAGAACTTTGTGTTTTTCGTGTGAGCTGTCGGGTCTCGCCGGATCTGCCGAACGGTCGCCGAGGCGCGAAGGGTAAAACCTCATTTTGTGTCGCTGCACGGGTCGCGGGTGTAGCGTTACAGTACAATAAATATACGACCGCGTATACAAAATTATTTAGACATTTTTAATGAATATTCTAACGCTGAATTTAAAAGTCACTTTAGGTAATGTGATTATAATATTTTGCTTTTTAATCTTAAGATATTTTAATACTGTTATATTACTTATATTGCTACAAACTTATAATTGAGAAAGAGAAAATTGCTTTAATTTTTAATTGCAGGATATCGCGTGCAGTTTTTTATTTTTTATTAAATATAATTAAACCAAAGTTGGAAAAAAAATCAGAAAGATTTGGTCGAAAGACAATTTCTGCAGAAAGTCAATTGTTGATAGCAATATGAACTATGGCAACACCAGATTCTTATAGGTAATTTATATATGTAAATAAAATAGCAAAAAATATATTGACAGATATCTGAATCACGATTATTCTGTATTAATGCAAATTTAATGCAATTATTCTATTTATAATAGATCAGTTTGCGATCGATTTAACGTTGGACGAGCAACTGCTTGGCGAGCTGTTAGGAGAGTTTGTGCAGCTCTTTACCGTTTAGTACCACAATATATTAAGTGGCCAAATGAGGAGGAAGCTCAATATACCTGGACTGATATTGAATTGAAGTATAAGTTCCCGAAAGTTATAGGCGCTATCCCTTATAGAAATATCATACTAAGAATCATTGATAATTACTTATTATCCAGTATTTTTAATACTGAAAATAAGTAATTATCAATGATTCTTGTATGATATTTCTATAAGGGATAGATGGGACAGATCTAAAAATAATTAAACCTAGTAAACATGACGAAAGCTATATTAATCGGAAAGGTTATCACGCGGTGCAATTGTAAGTAAGTAAAACTAAAAATGTTATTTAAATTAGTATATATAGTCTAATAATATATACGAAAAATAATTGTAATAAAAAGTATTAATAATTAATATGTATTAACGTGTTAAAATACTTTTCTAATTTATTCTTTTGTTAGAGGTAATTTGAGATTCAACATTAAAATTGATCCATTGTTATGCAGGACAGCCTGCATCGGTTCATGACATGCGTGTTTTTAGATTGAGTGGTATTCAAACAATGTGTACAAATAATTATTTTCCTGCAGATAGCCACATAATAGGTGATGCTGCATATGTTTTACAAAAACACGTCATGCCTTTATAGAAATATCATACTAAGAATCATTGATTAATTACTTATTTTCAGTATTAAAAGTACCGTATTTAGTAATATTCTGTGATTCAAATACAGCTTTTACTCAAGTATTTCAATATTTAATGTTACAAATCCTACCTTATGATTGATTTCAATACTTAAATATTGATATGTAATACTTCGTCCAGTGATAAAATACTTACGCAGAACATTGTCAATATTTAAATACTAATATATAATACTTTGCTAAGTGATGAAATACTTACGCAAAGTACTGTTAAGATTAAAAGTATTAACCCAGATAGCATACAATATTAGTAAGTCATTAGATAAATATTTATAAATATTTATTTTGAAT